ATTAAAAATTATCATTTTTCCCTGATTAATAGTGAAAGAAATTACAATTTGTAGAAGTTTAAATAATTTGTCCAAGGATTAAAACTCAAATCTTTACAATTTCAAAACCCATGTTTTTAGAACCTAGTGTACAGCTATGGGCAGTACTTCCCAGTTCAGGCCTACCTTGTCTGACCACATCAATCCATGTTCCAGCACTTTTGCAAGCTTCTGGGGTCTCAGTGACACTAACTCACACACTGCTGTCATATTAGTTATTTTTCTAGGTTTTTATTGTGGAGAAATATTTTATGTTGTAAAACCTGCCTCTGTACTGCACCTACAAACAGCTCTCCACTACTACAACCCATGAACAGAAAGATAAGCACCAGGCAGGCTTTCAATGTGGTTGCTGAAGAACTGTTGGAGCTTAAACATCTGTCCTTTGGCAGATACTGAAATCAGCACCCAGAATAGAAGACTGGGGAGAGAGTGTGAGGGCAAAATCCGGAACTGAGTTTAAGGAGGAGAAGGAAGGGAAAGAAGGAAAGGAAGGGAAGAAGGAAGAGGAAGGGAGGGAGGAAATGGAAAGGAAAGGTTTATGAGAGTTATTTTAAAGCTTATATTGGTAAGATCTATTCTCTTGTTGAAAGAAATTGGTAAAAATATGAATCAAAATTCATTGAAGAGGAGATAAGCATTAGATTTTTAACTAGTTGTCAATTTTAGAAATGTATTCTTGTCAACACATTCATTATAACATAATTTCATTAACACAAAGTCATATAAATGTCTCAAAAAGCTTGCTATACCCATTTAGTATCATATATGTATACAATCTTGTACTTGAAAAAGAAATTAGACATTAGGCTCTATTCATGAATCGCTTCTTCACAATTTCTATAAGGGGTCACATACATTCACTGGAAATTATGTAGGAGATTATAAGGAGAGGAAAATTATAATCTTCATATAAAAACAATAGGTAACTTCATCAAATACTGATGTGACAGGTCTTCTCATCACTACTCCTTGAGGAGGACAGTTTTTCTTTCCATTTATAGGTGAGGAGAGAAAGCTTAACAGGGGTACCAATCATCACACAGCTCACAGATAATGGATCTTCTTGACTTTAAAATGTACCTGCATAAATGCTATTGATATCTGGTATAGCTAATGTTAGACTATCATGTAGCAAAATTAATTTTCAAGGTTTGAAAGGTCTTAAATGGAGTTTCTCATGGAACAAGTTTGAAATCAATGTAGATCCACTCAAATTCCTAAAATTTATTTTCACAAGAGTGTCCTAAGTAACACAGTATCTCAGTATATGTAACGTTCACTCAAATATTCCATACTTATCAACTCTCAGTATCATTTAGTACTCAGGCTGCAAGTCATATAGGACACTACTATTAGGAATAGAAGAAGAATTTCAGTAAGATAAGAAATTCTTACTGAATTTCTCTAATCAGTAAGGCTGTTGGAGTATCAAAGCACTTGCTTTTGTTTATCCTTCATCATTTATGGCCACAGACATTAACTTCCTACTCTATGTGCATGACTCAGGATGTGGGTTTGGAAGAGGGGACTCAGGTTTAATAGATGCACAGTATCACTGAGTTTTCTGTGAGTGCATCTAGGATTTGTGTGGTTAGGTGGAAAAATAGAACATTATAGTCTAGTAAGAGTATATTCACAGTTAACTCTTTTAGAATACTCTAGATTTTTCCCATTCCTTCTATGGATGAGGGTAAGCATTGCCAATTTTTTTTCAATACTTGCTATGGCAAATTAACTCATACATTAAGTACTTAGTAATTGTTTTATAATTTTTTCCCTCTAAAACAGTGATTTTGCATGTCTAAATAATAGATATGCAGATGTTGACCTTGAGGTACAATTTTTTTAAATTATTACTTCTAGAATAACCTATTAAATTTCTTAGGGGATCATAATATAGGCTATAACATTTCTGCTGATCTTCTCAAAAAATATTTTAGCATAAAAATGTAAAATGACCACTTAAAATAAGCACTTCCTCCCTGTGTTGGGCTCATATAACAGCCTTTTTCTCCACTTCATGTTACTTCATTTTACTTCATTTTGTATTTGTCACCTTTCTGCTATCTTTGTGTACTGTAATAAAATGCCATGGAATCAGACAAGCTATAATTTTTATTGTAAGCATATATCAAGGCAAATTTGTGAGCTGACTTGATATCAGAAATGAAGCTAAGGGGATATGCCTTTGTTCCAAGTTACAAAATGCCCTACTATTCTAAATTTGAAGTATGTTGAAAATAAATTTCTTTTTTCTAGAATCAGGAACTTCACATAGGCAATATATTAAGAATACTCTTTTAAAATTTTAGTGTGTATGAAAGAGCTTTAATAACTCAACTCTTTTTTACTAGAGTATTATACACTAAAGTTGTGAAGCTATTATGTAAGGTGATGCTATGTTAAACCTGATAATTTCTAACATTTGATATCAATTTTTTTCATAGAAAGCTAAGGGGAGGCATTAATTTATTTAGCAGTATTATATGAGCATGGCTATTTGGGAAAACCAGTTATATATTCAAACATAGATTTAACAAATTTTCACCCCTAGAATGAACTCAGCATCATCAAGATGAAGCCTGAGAGTTATAACCAAGAGTGATTGCTGGAACCACTAAGCAGCCAGTGGCCAGCCCTATTCTGGGAAGTTTTCTTTTCTTTGCTTTAAAAAAATTTTTTACTTATTGATTTTAGAGAGAGAGAGAGAGACTGGAAAGAAGAAACAAGGGAGAGAAGGAAAAAGAGAAATGTCGATTTGTTGTTCCACTACTACATGAATTCACTGGTTGATTCTTATCTGTGCCCTGACAGAGGGTCAACCCTGCAACCTTGGTGCATTGGGATATGCTCTAACCAACTGAGCTACCTGGCTAGAACTATTCTGGGAGGGTTTCTGATGAACACTAACATGACCTTCTCTACCCATACATCTTCAGGTTCTAGAAGGTATAAGCTCTGTACATCTACCTAGCCTAATCCTTGTATTTATAGAAATTGAATAAATGAGCCCAGCTATTTATGAAACATACCTGCACAGATACGTTTCATTTCTTTTCCCTGTGTTACCCCTTTAGATTATCCTCCATTAAAGAGTGGGAAATATTTTGAAATTTTTAATACAATTTTACTCCTATTACTTGAAATAGTAGTAAACAAGATGTAAATTGTTCTTTTGAAACAAAATTCTTATTGCTGCACAACCAAGATAACTATGGGATGTCCCAGGAGCAACCGTCCTGTTACTCTCCTCTACGGTTGTACCCTATCTACACATAGGCCACTTATATTTCTACTTTTGCCCTCAATTATTAGTTTGCTGTCATATTATCTTTTAATGTGGTAGAGTAATATCAATAAATAGAGATATTTTTAGAAAATTTGTCCCTCCACAAAGCTATTTTCTATGTATTATTTTATGCAGCCTAAGTGTGGAACTGAAAGGAATTATCGTGGTAGTTTCATAGAGTACATTATATACATCAACAACATAAAACAATAAAAATGCAGATTAAATCTTGCTACAAGTTACTATTGGAAATTGATATACATACTTCTCTGACAGACATAGTCTGTAATTTATTGCTTGCAACACAGTTTTGTACATGATGAAAACTGGTGATCTGTAAGAGTATTCCCAAACTCCTTTCCCAGTGCTCTCGGTGTTGGTTGCAAAGATGCTCAGGAAATCATCAGCAAACTCCATCTAGACACAGACAAAAAGGTCATAAGTATACATAACATGGGATTCGTGGCTCATGGTTTGAGAGCTGTGGGCATTTATTCTTGTTCAAAATATGGCAGAGTGTTTCAAAACATCTGCTCCCATGTTCAGAGGTTAGTGACTCTGAAGCATGCCAACATCTAATTTTGACCAGTTTGCCAAAGACACATATTTGTCCTTAAATGTTAGTCATTAGAGTTGGGTTCCTACTTAAATTCAGCGAATCCCAGTGGAGTGGTAATTCATTCTGTAAGAAAGTGTAGAGTGGCTCAGAACTCAAATATAAGGAGGTCGACCTCTAATTTAGAGATAACCTGGAGAAGGTAGATATCATCTGTAACTCTAAGAGGGCTTTGAAAGTTCTGGAGCATTATTCTGTAAAAGAGAAAACTAAAATCATATTTGCCTTTCCAGAAGCATGAACTTTATTGCCTTTGAATATAAATAAGAACATTCTCTCTCTTTCTGTCTCGAACACACACACACATACACAGGCACTTAAAGCAAATAATAGCAAAATAAATATAGAAGTAAAAGTCAGAATCTGGTACTAAAAATAACATGGTATTTGGAAACAGTTGGGTCTACATTTGAATCCTATCTCTATTCCTCACCGAATGTGCCACACTGAGCAAGTCCTTTATTCTTGCAAATGGGTAAAATAGTTCTGAACAGGAGGCACTGGTGTGAGAATAATGTGTGTCGATTGCCTAGGATGTAGGCAATAGCCACTAAAGAACTAATGACTATCATAAAGACTAATTTTTAAGTATATACTTGACCTTAAAATATGTTCTTTATGCAAAATGAAACTATTTTATAAAAATATTCAAGCCTTGCCACCTAAAAGAATATAGGTTTAAGACATATTGAAATTAAAAAGAAAACTAAATGATTGTATGATTATCTAGGAATATAATTTAGTTTGCCTTGATGGGATTGCTAAATTTTATTTTATTTTAATGCAGGTTCACTTAAAATGCATTGCTTTATCACTAGACATGTTCACCTTTCCTTCAGTAGTAATTTTGTCTCCTCATGATTTGTATAGTGCCAAACATTCGAACATCAATTTTCCTTATATATTACATCTTAATATTAAGAAACAACAAAATAAGAACAGCAATTTGACATCTGTATTTACATATATTACTCTTTGCTTTCTATAACTTTATTCCCACATGAAAATATTCAGTACTCTTTCTTGTGTCTCTCTTCTCTCCTAATAATTCAGGTCTCTGCAGGACCTTTCCAAGCAGACTGACATCCCTTATGGTACTGTCCTGGACTCTGCAGTATATGAGCATGTTCGCATGAAGGGAATGAATCCTTTCGAGAGAGACAGCATGTATTCCCAAATGTGGCGGATGATCAGCCGAAGCAATGGATCAGAGAATAATGTTCTGGAGTCCCAAGCAGGCATTCAGAAGGTACTGGCTCTTCGTTCGTAGTCTACCCTCTTATCTCTATGTTGGAATTGCTAAGTTAAGATTGGTTTCTTTCTTTTCTTAAAATTTTAACTTTCACATAAAGTTTTTTTCAGTTACATTACACCTTCTGTTGATTTAAAGATTTTGAGGTGACTGTGCACCAGCGAAGGGAATTCAAAGCCCTCTGTAGTGTGTCTAAAGCAGTGATTTTCAACCAGTATGCCATGAGAATTTTTAAAACACTCACTACCTGACTAGTCAGGGGCACTGACCTTTTTTCCCTTGGATTGTAAAAAAAATTTAAATAACAATATCCAACACAACAATAGCCACCCAGTGTGAATGTATCAAAGTTACACCTATTTCTTGGTCAGATTGGCAGAAAATATAATGTAGTTTTATGGTATGCTGCATAATTTTAGTAATTAGTTTATATGTGCCATGAGATGAAAAAGGTTGAAATCATTGATTTAAAGAATATGTTTCCATTGAATTCTAAAGCTAGAAAACGTGAATTGATATTTTGTTTAAAACAGGCTCAGAGATTTATACACATGAAGACTGAAAAGGTTTTTACAAATCTTATTCCAAACACCACTCAGGTTATTCAATTCTTTCAAATGACTAAGAGTATTTACTGCATCTGTTTTTAGATGAAAACCTTATCTTATAATTATGTGAAGCTATTGGTGGGTAAAAGTTAATCTGGTCAACAAAATTCCTACAAATGTCTCTTTCTATTTCCAAAAGTGAAAATATTTTTTTATTTGCAAATAACTATCATTTAGAAGTTATTTTACAAAAAAAAAGGAGTATTTGGAAAGCAGTCCTTTTTGTGAAAAATAAGAAGCTAGTTTTCATTCTGGGCTGTGGTTTATGGACGTATAATGCTTTCTTTCTTAGGCCTTATCATCCTCCATGAGAGAACTAAATAATGGTTTGCTTAAACCTGTTCCTGTGGCTAGCACAGTGAAAGTCACAATAGTTGATATTTAATAAATAATTATGGGATGAATGAATGAGTGAATGAATGAATGAATGTGACTAAGGGCAGCAATGGTGGTGTGCAGTTTTTCTCTACAACCTTCCACAGCAGAGTAATTTGGCCACCATGTCTGAGTTTCTTGTTCAAAATCAAGCTCAATAATACTATGGTGGAGAATGTTTTGATGGCTATAAATGTTATTCTGTCACAGATTCTAACGTTATTCTGTGCCTTTTCATATCTGTGCATTTTTATAGCATAATATCTATCAGTTAATGCTCTTGCTGTGGTCCCCTAGGTCACCCTAGCAATTTTGCTGTCACTACATTATCATTGTTTTATTTTTAAATATATTTTATTGATTATGCTATTACAGTTGTTCCTAATTCTGACATCTTAATTATGATGTGCCTTGTTGTGGTCCTCTTTGGGTCCAACTTGTTTGGGACTCTCCTGGAATTGTATATATATATTTCCTTTGCCAAATTAGGGAAATTTTCTGTCATTATTTTTTCAAATAAGTTTTCAATTTCTTGCTCTTCCTCTTCTCCTTCTGGCTTTCCTATGATTTGAATTTTGGTACATTTGGAGTTGTCTTAGAATCTTCTTATTCTATCCTCATTTTTTGAGTGTTTATTTCTTCTTGCTGTTCTGGTTGAATGCTTATTTCTTCATTATGTTGTAAATTGTTGATTTGAATCTTGGCTTCCTTTCCTTCACTGCTGGTTTCCTGTATATTTTATTTTATTCCACTTAATATAACCTTCATTTCTCCCTTGATGTTGTTGCTGTACTCAATTAGTTCTTTGAGCATCCTGATCACCAGTATTTTGAACTCTGCATCTGATACATTGGCTATCTCTGTTTCATTTAGTTCTTTTTCTGGGTTTTGTTCTGTTCTTTCATTTGGGCCCTATTTCTTTGTCTCTTTGATTTGGCAGACTCCCTGTGTTTATTTCTGTGTATTAGGTAGAGCTGCTTTGATGACTCGAGGCATAGGTAGACACACTTCACCTCCTCGTAGAAAGAATTACAACTAAACCTCAAAACAACACCCAGAACTGTCAGAACATCTAACTGTATGGGACTCTGACAACCAAGGATTTAAAGAAGCCACATTCATCTATATGGGTAGGAGGGGTCGAGATGTGGATCCTTGCAAAGAAGTGATGAGACACAGGGTGGCAAGGAGAGGTGGCGACAGTGGAAAATGGCCAGTGACATTCGTGTGTGGTGGATAAAAATGAGGAGGGACATCTTGGGAGCAAGCAATCCCAACCCCAGGCTAGACAACACAACCTAGGATTCCAGTGCTAGGAAGATAAATTCCTATAACTTCTGACTGTACAAACCAGTGGGGGTTGGAGTGACAGAAAAAAAAATGCCAATTTTCAGGGCACTCCGCTCAAAAGGCAAACACACATAAACCCACCCACTCTGGGATTTAGCACCAAGGTAATAGCTGGAAGGGTGCCAGCCATATATGGGGAGTGGGTAAAGTGGCTGGAAATGGGGCAAGTGCCATTAAACCTTCAAAAGCCGGGCAGTGGCACTGTAAGCTCTCTGAGCCCTCCCAACCCCCAACAGAACCACAAAGCAGCAATAGGGGTTGCCCCTCCTGGCAATTACCTAAGGCTTCACCCCACACAATTTACAAATTGATGATGCTGACATAGATCTCTCTCCTAGTACTGCCTTCAAAGAAGTACTGCCTTTAAAGTTTGTGAAATATTAGTATTGGCTTCTAGCTCCTTCACACTTATATTAATCTCATTTTCCCAGGGCCCAGGTATTGATCCTAAAATATTTTTTTTGTATTTGTCAAGAGGTTCATCGGCTCCTTTAAATTCAACATGGTGTCCTCCAGTTGGAGCAAGGACAGGGAAAAGATGGGGAGTGTGAATGGGTGAATGGGCGTATGTGTTGTCTAGGGTATAAGAGAGAACGCATTTTAGTGTTTACTAGTTACTCATAGGATGCGAATAAATTTAAGTCTCAGAATAAGTATACTAAAATGGCTTGGGGAAAGTTATTTTTCTTCATATTGTCTACTGTTAAAAGTAAATTTGTTCCCTGGCTGGTGTAGCTCAGTGGATTGAGCATGGGCCTGAGAACCACACGATTGTGGTTTGATTCCCAGTCAGGGTACATGCCTGGGTTGCAGGCCAGTTCCCAGCAGGGGACTCATGAGAGGCAACCATACATTGATATTTCTCTTCTTCTCTCCTTCCCTTCCTCTCTAAAAATAAATAAATAAAATCTTTTTTAAAAAGTAAATTTGTTTTCTTGAAGATGAGTATTAATCAGAACTCATAGTTTATGTTTCTATTCTCTATTCCATTTTAGAAGCCAAAGTTCCCCACATTTTACAAATTCTTATTATATCATATCATTCTAGAGAAATTTTATTATTTTCTCACAGCAAATTCCAAATAAAACATTTTTAATGTATGTCTTCACTAATTTATTATTTGTTTATTCATTCAATATTTACTAAGTGCCAGTTACATACCAGACCCTGATCTGGGAACTGGAGATAAACTGAACCACAGAGAAATGGCCACCAAGTCCATGAATCGTAAAGTCTGGTGAGAGTGATAGAAATAGTAACTAAAATATATAGTCAAACAAAATGATTTCAATTTGGTAAATGCTATGAAATAAAAAAATAGGGTGCTATTGTAGGTAATACAGGATCTACTTGAGGTACAGTGATCATGTAAGCTTTCTCAAGAAGATAAAATAATTAGCTCCTGATCAGAAGCTGGTCTTGTAGGAGAAAGGGTGACAAGGTATGCACCCAAAGGTCAGAAGGTACACTCTCAAAGCATAGGCAAAGGTCAGAAGGTACACTCTCAAAACTGACTTAAAATCAACATGGCTGGAGCATGTTGAATACGAGAACATGAAATGAGGTTAGTAGGCAGGAAATAGATCATAGAAGACTTTGCTCCTTGGTTAGGAATTTGGATTTCACTTGAATGACAAAAATGCTGCTGAACTAGGGAAATATCATGATTTATTTTTAGTTTCCAAGATGATCACTATAACTGATATATGGTGATTGGGTGAAAGTGCAAAGAGTGGAAATAGTTAGACCAAAAGAGACTCTTGAAATTTTCTGAGGTAGCAAGTAGGTACATTTTTTAATGTTTTTTAAATTTTATTTTAATTGTTGTTCAGGTACAGTTTTCTATCTTTTACTCCCATCCTATCCTACTCCCCCAGTGCTTCCCACCCCCTTCCCATTTCTACCCCCCTTAGTTTTTGTCCATGTGTCCTTTATACTTATTCCTGTAAACCCTTCCCCTTTTCCCCTGAAATTCCCTCCCCTCTTCTCTCTGGTCACTGTCAGCCTGTTCTCTATTTTAGTGTCTTTGGTTATATTTTGCTTGCTTGTTTGTTTTGTTGTTTAGCTTCCTGTTAAAGGTGAGATCATATGGTATCTGTCTTTCACCATCTGGCTTATTTCACTCAGCATAATGCTCTCCAGTTCCATTCATTCTGTTGCAAAGGGTAGGAGCTCCTTCTTTCTGCTGCATAGAATTCCAAGTGGGAATATTTGAACAGGGCCTTATTTTATTCTTATGTTCTTATATACACATAACCTTCTACATACACATATCCATAATGTTTTTGTATTAATACAAACTGGGTGTACCTCCTATATCCTGGTATTTTCAGAATAATATATAAATCATAAGTATATATCAGTTGGCACTTAGGAGCTTTAATAGTCATAAATTTACTAAGATATACATATATATTCTAAGGTCTTCTGTATTACTCAAGAAAGTCTCTCCTTTTCCATGTATGTAATATAGTTTCCTATATTTTCTGGACTTTTTAGTGTTTTTTTACCTTTATGTCTTTTAACCATATGAAATTTAATTTGACATTTGTGTATATGTAAAAATAAATTATAAATATTCACACTGAGAAAGTTCCAATCTGAGATTCCATGAAATAAAGGTGTTTTTAACTAGATTATTAATAATATATGCAGAATGAGCTA